GAATTCCAAGCAGTATATGAAACCAATATGTAGTGTGGGGCTGGAGTGATTTGTATTGAAGGTGGGCTGAGTGTGAGCCATTAATTACCCACGTGTTCAGTCTACCATCACAAGCAGCATCAGCGTCGACACTCACCCTGTGATCTCCACACATCCTTGTTGCATGCTCCTTAGACTTTTCTAGCATCCTCCAGATTGGGAATCATTAAAGCTAACAGGTTGGTGAAAATAGTAGATCTGTTAAATTATCCACATAAATTGCTTCCAGGGTCTTAATGCTTAAACATGGTGACATTCTTCATAGAAGACTTTGATGAAACTTGGTATTTCACCTTGCTCCACTGACCTTGATCCATGGGTAATTGAATAATGTTTGTGTACCTGTACCAAGATCCACATGTCGCAGTTGTAACTCCTAGATTAAACCTATTAAAAGGATCCGTTATTTGCATCTATTCACCTGCTTTTTAATGCCTCAAATGTGAGGGTTAAGAGTCTTACAAAGTGAAAAAGTTTAATGATTTTCTATCTTTGTGTGCTAGATACCAACGTAAAGCTTTCAAGTTGCTCATAAACCAGTTTTAGTGCTATATTTTACATCCTTGTTCCTTTAATAAGAAGATGGGAGGTTATCAAGAGCAGGGGTTGGGTCACCTCGCCTAGTGATCAGTTCTGGCTTCTGTGCGCAAAAGTAGTCCATGGGAATCAATCATGTTTATTTGATTTGGCAGAAAGATATTTTGGAGACTAATTTAGGATAGGCTTACATAATGGTTTAGGGAAGAGGATCTTCCTTTCTTTATCCAGTCCTGGTTTGCGGTGGAATGTTTTGGAGCCTGCTCTCCAATGGCTGGTAAACTGGCAATGTGCTTGTAGAGTGAGTGAGTGATTTGGGTTTAGTGTCTCTTTAAACAGTATTTCAGATTGAGGAAAGCCAGTATGGTGAGGAAACATAGCCTGTCCAGAATGTAGAAATGATCCAGCACTGATGGTTGTCTCACAGGATATCAGAGAGTTAAGTGAGTGAGGGAGTTTAACACTGCTTTGAATGGTATTTCACTTTTGTCAATGGCATGTGAACTTGTTGTGGTTGGAGGGGTGGTCGGTAGCCCAGTGGTTAAAGTGTTTGCTCGTCACGCTGAAGACCCAGGTTCGATTCCCGACATGGGTACAATGTGTGAAGCCCATTTCTGGTGTTCCCTGCCGTGATATTGCTGGAATATTGATAAAGCAACATAAAATCATACTCACTCACTCACTCACTCACTCACTCACTCACTCACTCACTCACTCACTCACTCGCTCGCTCGCTCGCTCGCTCGCTTGCTTGCTTGCTTGCTTGGTTGGAAAGCCCAAAGTCTTGCAGGTCTTAGTCCATCACCCTTGGAAATCTGGGGTTGGAACCATTATCCTAGATTACTGGTATTCCTATGTGATGAAACTCTGCACATGTTAGATGACAACAGCCACCCCCACACCACCCCCACCTGTGTGGCTCTATGAAACATTGTATTTTTGTGGGGAGCTTGAATGTACTTACCAGGTGTGTAAATTATTTATTGATAAAAGTGATGGGAAGTTACTGAAAATTTGGTGTTTCCTGCAAGGGATTGGTAGGATATGTTCTATTTAAAGTATTCAATGATGGTCGACTTGATGGTGAACATGACTGATATATTAGTTTACCTATCTGGCAGAATGCCACTACTTCAGCCTCTTTTTGACAACTTAAGACATAAATTGGGGGTCAGTAAGTGATTCCCTCTCCTGACAGGAACCTAATTGACTAATTTTGACTGCCCGAGTTCAGCTGTAGGTTGTAACTCTGCTCCTTCTGCCGGTGCCCTGCACCCTCCAGCTGCTACAGTACTGTCTGGGTTAATGGTAATACTCAACACCCACTTGTGCAAGGTATTGCCTGCATTGGTTGACTTGGGGAAAGTCATGGGTTGGAGCTGCTTTCATGGTTTAGTCACCAATCTATGTGTTTACTAGGTATCAATATACAGTGATGCTGTTAGCCTAGTGGCTAAAGCCTTCAGTAGCCTGGTGGCTAAAGCCTATGGTAGGCTCGTAGCTAAAGCCTTCAGAAGCCTAGTGGCTAAAGCCTTCAGTAGCCTAGTAGCCAAAGCCTTCATACAGCCTTGTGACTAAAGCCTTTGGTAGCCTAGTGACTAAAGTCTTCAGTAGCCTAGTAGCCAAAGCCTTCATATAGCCTTGTGGCTAAAGCCTTTGTGTAGCCTGGTGGCTAAAGCCTATGGTAGGCTCGAAGCTAAAGCCTTCAGAAGCCTTGTGGCTAAAGCCTTTGTGTAGCATTGTGGCTGAAACCTTTGTGTAGCCTAGTGGTAAAAGCCTTTGTTCGTCACAGTATGTGCAAGTTGTGAAGCCCATTTCTTGTGTCCCTTGCTGTGATATTGAATGATATTGCTAAAAGAGGCGTAAATTCAAACTTACCCACTCACTTATCAAAGTACAGCAGTGAGTGAGTTGGGATAAACTATGCTTTGAACAATAATTTGGTTATATCAGCTTAGTGTGCCACAATTCGCTATACAGAGGTGTATCAGGAGTCTATAGTTGTGGGTTCAAATACCAGAATCACTCTTTTGCTCCTCTTTGCGATACTAATGTTGTGGCCTGTTTGTCTGGCATCTACACCGTACAAAGTAAATATCTTCTCCTCAGAAACCACATGACCAATAAAATGATATCACATGAATTTGTTCAAGTGGTTTAAATACATTTGCACCATGGCCGCCTCACCAAGCATTTTGAAGAAAGTAATAATGCCCATTAATCAGTCCTTTTTGTTGAAATTGGAAGTAAATCTGGTACATATGTAGGTAGTGGGGCTGAACAGATATGGTTCGTTTGTTTTGAGCATGCTTTTAATTCTGTCAAAATGCAATTATTTGGCTTTGTCATCCTCTCCTCCCTTGAAATTGCCAGACTGAGGGAGCTGAAATTTTGATGGGCATGTTTCTCCTTACGATGTTCATATTGTGTCCAAATCATTAGATTTTAGTGTTAGTTTTATTCTCAGTATTTATGCCAAAATATTTCTTCCCTGTTGACTATCTGGGGTAGAATAGGTTTTAAGAAACCCATGCTTGATGTAAAAGGTGACTATGCTTGTCGTGAGAGGCGACTAACAGGATCGGTGCTCATGATGTCAATCACTGGATTGTCTGGTTCAGAGTTGATTATTTACAGACTGCCGTCATATAGCTGAAATATTCCTGAGTGTGGTGTTAAACAACAAATAAACAAACTGTTGACTACATATGTTGACTACATATTGAGGTGGACTACAGTTCCACGTTTTTGACAATAAACAGTTGAATGCCTGAGGAATCTAAATGTTTTGCATATCGAAAGCAAGGCAGACAGACAAGAATGGCCATACTTGTCTAGCACATGCTTTCCTTGCTTGAAGATCAAGGGTCCAGCTTCTCCCTCAGAACCAGTGACTCCATGGCCCCTACTTACAACGAAGTGTCAGATCCTGATTGGGATATGCTTTACTTTTTTCTTATTGTTGACAAGACTTTCATCACATATGAATCATTTTATTTTTTGCCAAGGGAACCATTCATTTCTACATGCAAAAAAAAGAGTATTTTCAACAAAACTGGAGGACATCAAGCAAAAAGCATAACTCTTCTACTTGGCTCCTATAAAGGAAAAGGCTGTTTATTTAAACATGTCACTAAACTAGATGTCATGATGGTTTAAAAACTAGACATATGTTGCAATTACTGGAATATTTTTTACCTTCATCAAAGCAGGTTGCATTTGATGATGATGTAAGAAATACATAATTCACAGTCCCAGGTCTTCAAAGATGGTTTTATATGACTGGTAGTTTACGATGCATGAAATTACAGAATTGATTAAGTTGAAATTTATGAATACTTTCCCTTCATCATTTGAATTTCTTTTCAGAGTTCATTGAAAAATGTTTGATCAAAGTTGCCAAATAATGTTTCAGCAAGAAAGAAATGGTGATCTGAATTTCCAGGAGCTAGAAATGTTTACATTTTGTCAAAAGGGAACATTGCCCTGCTAAGAGAAACAAGGTAGATGAGAGAAAGTGTGGCGCCATGTTAATATGCCAAGTCCTAACTATACACAAGATGCCTATCTTGCTGCAAAAAAAATTGTAAATGAAAATGTAGGTCACTGCAGGTTGAGTTACACTTTGAAAAGTGGCCTTGGATTGGACACAGATGAGGCAGTGTGGAAATAATAGGTTTGTGATGGAGAATATATGACCCAGTAAATGTTATAAAAGAGTGAATTGTGAGAGCCTTTGTTTAAAATGTCAGATGTATAGAAATGGAAAGGTGTGGCAGCCTTCTTGTGGCAATATTGTTCAGCAGAATTGAAGATTTGATCATTGGAAGGATTGGTGGGGGGAGTGGGATGAAGGTTGATAGAAGAAGAAGAAGAAGAAGAAGAATGAGAGAAGAAGAAGAAGAAGATTTATTGTACACAAACACTCACAGGGGGCAGGGTACAAAACGTGAACATGACTAATTAAACATTGACATACACAATAGAATACAAATATTGCTATGATTATATTGCTAGAGGGGAGATGCAGATTTTCTTTGCCTGAACATTTTGTGAATGAAATTGGAGATTATCATCTCTCATAGATGATGTTCTGAAGTTTTTAAATGGTAGTAATGTGCTTGGTTTTGTATACTGTTGTACTTGGGATGACAGATTAACTAAAGTAATGTGAAAAAATCCTGTTCTTTAATGTTTTTTGAGTAGTATATATGGATGATAATGTCATATGTTATGTGGATATTCATTATAAAAAATGAAATGAATTAACAGGATAATTTGATTGGCATGTTTCAAATTGATTATAGATATTTTCTCTTTGTCTGGAAATTCTGAACAAAGATAACAGGTTTGTATTGTAATGTTTCACCAAACTTTCACCTGATCAATGTACTACCAGCATCACAGTTAATCATGTTAATGTCACATATGTTGAGGTGTATTTGTTGTGAGAAGTTTTGGAAATCTGAAACTTAGAATTCTGTTTGCATCACAGACAGCTTTGCATATTTGAAATAGTTTGCAAATCGTTATTCAGAATGTTTCAATATTACAAACAACAATTTAGAATTGTCTTCAATATTTTGTTTGTTTGCAGAGGTTAAACATGAAAAACAGGTGTGCAGACTGTGTAAATCCGCATAGTATTTTCATAAATGCAAAATGATATTGAAGTCAATTCTAATCAACAAATTTGTTGATAATAATTAAAAACAAACAAACGGTAGACAACAATACGAAATCAGTGACAACACAAGCCCCTCCCATTCTATTATCATCCAATCAGGAAACAGTAGTCTGTGAGTGGGCATGGCCTAATTTTTTGGTCAGTTTATGGAGACATAAACACAAAAAAGAATTGTTGGTGAACCAATCAAATGCCATGAAATCTCTTGCAATTTATTTATTTACCCATGAGCAAGATACTACAAAAGTGTGTTGTTGAGTTGTCCGAAGTGGCCATGTAACACATGAGTGAGGCTGTACCCCCCTGATGTTACTGCTCCAACTCCTTCTAACCCACTCCTGTATTCCCTGTACTAACCTACATCCACTCTTCCCTTAACCTGGCAACACCAATGTTTTTACCAGGGGAGGAGAGAAAGGTGTCTGTTTTCAGCTCACAAGCTAGTTTAAGACTTTTCCAGAGAAGGTATTTTTGTGCACCTTAATTTAGACTGGGAACACAAGAACTCTGTTGGCCAGATTAGTTCACACAGCCGCTCTATTTATGCTTGAAGATGCCTTGCTTTTTATCTCCTTCTGTTTACAAAATATGAATTATGTATAGGTTGAAGAGCCCGTGTTCCCCCTAGATGGGATTACGCTGTACCTGACTTGGACTTCAGTTTAATGGAGGAACAGTCTCTTCCACTGTTCTCTTTGGCTCTACTTTTGTGTTCTCCAAACAACTTGTAAGGATCTCAACTGCTTCTGAAAAAGGTGTAAACAAATTGACGAGGAAAGAAACATGTTGGAGAAGTTAATTTCATCCTGAGGAAAAAGAAGTCAGTTGATCATGAGTCGAGACAGTAAAGTTATTCACAAATGAAGAATGTTTACCTTGTGTTAATTTTTCAGAAATAGATGCCAATGTTTATGAATGGACTGGGCAGGCTTGCATCATTAAAATGCTTTGAGTCTTAATATTGTTTCCACTGCTAGAGCTTAAGCTAAAAAATAGTTTTCAGACGATGATTTGTAAAAACATTGGTGCGGGCAGGTGTTTGTTTTTTCCCTTAAAAAGTGTTGAAAACAAACGGTTAAACCTCCATGAATAAGTCATACCAAAGGTTAAGTCTTCGTTAACGCCAAGGTTTTTTGTATCAGACTTGGTAATTTGGTTGTGAGGTGACAGCATGGTTGTGCATTTTGAGATCTGTTATGTTTCCAGGCAAACATTTGCTATGAAGCTCATGCTAAACATTGATGACGCATGTGCCAGACAAAAAATAAATTCTTGAGAAAACAGATCTCCAGCTTGTTTGACAAGATATTGTTGCATAATGTGGTGTGCTAGCTACAGCACATGGTTAAATGAAGCTCTCATTGTCAGTCCGACATATGTTGGTATCTGATGCACCCAAGTTGGCTGACATTGTCTCAACATGGTTAATTAGTGAGGTTGTAAATTACTGATTGTCAGACCTATTTGTGATGGCAGTGTGTGCACCAATGTGTTAAAGGGGCAACCATCATTACATTGGTATTGTATGACTAAGAATTTAGATGGCGGAACAAATGTTGTGATCAATGATTTTTGATGTTGATGAAATGTGATTCATGTTTCCTACATTTCAACACTTCTATGGTCATTCATTTGTCATTGGTTCAGTTAAGTCATTTATGATCTGTCACACATGAATATAATTTTTTATATCAGGATTTTTAGAAATTCATAGAAATATATGAATGTTGCATTTGCAGCCACAATTTCATAGAATCTGTGAATGAACAATGATTGTACCACAAATCCATTGAACCTATGGTTGGTTGGTTGGTTTGTTTGTTGTTTAACACCACACTCAGCAATATTCCAGCTATATGACGGCGGTCTGTACAATAATCAAGTCTGGACCAGACAATCCAGTGATTGACATCATGAACATCGATCCACGCAATTGGGTGACATGCATCAACCAAGTCAGTGAGCCTGACCACCTGATCCCGTTAGTCGATTGAACCTAAGGATGTGTAAACCTTCATAGTTTTCGTGCTAATCACATGTTAAACTGTAAAACATCTCACTTGCCTGTAAAAGACAACTACATCTTATCTTAAAAACAAGCCATCATCCGAGTATTTACGATGTCTGTGTTATGTCACACCCCTCGTTGTAGCACGAGAAATCACGATAAACATGTCCTTCTGAAAACATACAATCAGAAGATACTATGTGTTTGCCATAATTTCCTAAAATGTATCGATGTACCACTTGTGTGCCACAGTTTCATAGGACCCGTGAAGATCCGGGGTAGAATTGTTTTTCAGCAACCCATGCTTGCTGTAAAAGGCAACTATGATTGTTTTAAGAGGCAACTAATGGAATCGGATGGTCGCTGAGTCGCTGACTTGGTTGATGCATTTCATCGTATTCCGATTCTTTGGATCAATGCTAATGATATTAATCATTGGATTGTCTGGTCCAGACACAATTTTTTACAGACCACTGTCATGTAGCTGGAATAAACAAGCAAACAAACACAGTTTCATAGAATCTGTGGAAGTGCCATGATGCCCACAATTCCCTCTACATACAGACAGGGGTGTGTTTTTCATCACTCCACAGATGTATGTAGATAACCATTTTTTGTCACCCTCTATTGTAACCTGTCCACCTTCCCATGAACAGTTTGTCTAACTGCTAACATTACTGCCCTCCTGGGAACAGAGAATAATGAAGCTGCAGTAAAACACTGGTTGAAGTAGCTGTTTAACAGTGTTGCCAGTGCAAGCAGGACAGACAGTAGATGGTTGGTAGTAATGATGGTGTAATCTGTTTTTCCTGTTCCCCCTCAGTTGTCTTAGTGTTGTTTATGAAGGATGAGTGTTTGCATGAGGAATGGGAGTCGATGCGTAGAGATGCTGGTGTTAGACAAGGTATACATTCAGTTATCTCACCCTGCTGTTGTTCACAGACAATGGGGACTTTACAAAGCAGTTCTGAAGTAAGTTGTTGCACCTCACCAAACTGTCTTTGTTATGATGATTTCTTAGGGAATTTGTCTTTCCATATCAAATTGAGTCACACAATTAGCTAAATGTTGGTGAAGTGAGACAAACACTTTTGAAAGTGGGTCGTTAGAGAACTATCCGACATTGCCAGAGGCTGATCTGGAGCCTGGGTTGTTGTGCTTTTCCTCCACCAGTCAGTCGACTGTGACACACAAACCAACAACTGAACACAATATCATTTGTACAGGTGGAACACAGAGGAAATGGCCTGGAAAACTGCAAACTAAGCTGCTGAACATATGATGGGTATAGTGTGGAATAGACTCACTGCCAGGGTAGACACACAGGCCAAGTTTGGAAGTAGGGAAATACAGTTGTTGTTCTGTTGATGTTTAGGGTTCAGGTTAAATGTTACATGTGTCGAGTGAGGAGATCATGGAGGACATGGGTTGGTCCTGGCAAAGAGTGTTTTGGTTCGTTCAGGGTGGTGGATAGGCTTTTGTGTCATTTCTAATTTCTCAAACTCAAACATGAGTGAGTGGGATTTAAAAAAAAAAAATTTTTTTTTAGGATGCTTTTAGTTATACTCCTGCAATATCATGGCAGGGAACACCAGAAATGGGCTTAACACATTTTACCCATGTGGGGAAACAAACCCATGCCTTTGGTGTGAAGTGAACACATTAACCTCAAGGCTGCCCCACCGCCCCCTTAACAGTGAAATGTACCATTGCCCAGGAGGTCATGACAAACTTAGTGAAATATTTCTGTCATGTTTCTTTTCTGAGGATTATGCTTTGTACACAAAATCATTTTTTTAAATATTGATAGATGGCATGATTTTATTGTCATTATCAGGATATGTATCCCAGGAAACAGACCAAAGAGAAAGCCAAAATATTTCCAAGTCTAATTTGTTAGTCCTATTTCAGTGTGGTGTGACTTGCTCCATGTCAAACAGGTATTCACATGTGGACTTATGAAAACAAAGTCATGAAGACGAAAGGTTTAATGTGATGACTGACAATGAGATGGCCGGTCGTCTTTGTCATTAATATTTTTATTTCAAATTTGCCAATTTTGCAAAAGGTCGAGAGCCTTTTGAAGCTGGGAAACGGTCTACTCTGAGTAATTTTATTACTGCAGTGTGCAGATGGTAAATATGGGCCAGTTTGTATCAAGGTATGAAAAGCTAGCACAAATATTGGTTTGAACTTTCAGCATATGCAGTCTACCTGTTTCAGAATTAACACCACCACCATTTATCTCCCTTTGGCAGATAGCTCCTGGTTCACATCTTCTCAGGCTTTGAGATGCTGAGTTACCCAGGCTGTTTGAGTAAACCTCCTAATGAAGGCTGTTATCATCGTATAGCTACAGAGCCTACATAAACAAGCAGTTGATGATGTAGATAACAGGCATGGATGGTGGTTTGGGACTATTGCTAGGGATTGTTTTCCAGAAGGCCACCAAACATGGAGGAACACTTGGTCAGCCATGTTTGAAGGGGGGAAGGGCATGAGTCTTCTATGAGGGGGGGGGGGGGGGGGGGACAGGAAATGGAGTTGGGGGAGATTTCTGTAGAACTGAAGTAGGAGAGACACAGGCACAGGAAACATATTGGTAACCATTAGACTTGGCCTTTTTTGTGTTTGCTGCCGACATCTTAGTTATTTCAGAAGTTGACCGTAAGATATAATGGAATGATGATTATGGTCAGATGATGATGATGATGATGATGAAAATTCGGGCTGAGCCTGTACATCATGGTACTGGTTTAGGTGGGGGTGTCAGGCTGGGGATGTGAGGGTGAGAGTGAGAGGAAGGGTGTGTGTGGTGGTTCAGGAATCCATTAGGTTTCCAGTGCTCTATGTTTGTCTGAGAGATTGGCATGACGATTCCTCAGTGTATACCTACAAATATTTTCAGGTATTTGCGAAAAGGGTATATCATGAAATTATTGCATCTCCAACTGCAAGTAATGAGCCCTGTCCTGGCAGGTAGCCCTAGAGCTCCACGATGTAGTATAGGGTGATATCAGTTTGAGTGATAAATACCATTTGCTTTCTTCACATACTAACTTCACCTGCTTGACATGTGATCTAACTTCCTTGAAATTTAAAGCAGGAAAAGACTGACCAAGGCTGTACCTAATCCAGGTGTTGTGAGATGATTTGGCATAGTTTTTTGGCCGTAAATGAGCAATGGTACGTATTTACCACGACTGCTGTTGCTTAGCCTGTCATACAAACCCTGAAACAAATATACCCAGTACAGCCCATACAAGTCTATAATGTTTGGCAAGTCTAGAATAATGCAGTATGAAAATGAAGAAAGTCTCTGGTCTCCTTTTTATTATATTTCATAACTATAATTTACCAACTGTTTTTTTCTGTAAAATATGTTCAGAGACTAGATGTTAGTCTAGCTGTTGCTGTACTGGACATGTTCACTAGGTTGGTGAGCAGTCTTTTGCTTAAAAATAATAAGACTGTTTGACAAGGTTATCAAGAACAAAGACCCCATCATACATATCATAACAAGTTGATCAACATGTGTAAAAACTGACACAGTTGGTGTGGGACTTGGTAAGAAGCACCGTGTAAATCTAGATCTCAATTACATTGTTTATTGCGAGCTCTGTTATATATGTCATTGCACACTCCAATGTACAGTGAACCTGACGTGATAGTATTCTTCAGTATGTCCAGATATGAATGCGAGCAAGGGATATTAATTTCATGATTAGCAGTATCTCC